GTTTAATGCCTGAATTATAACCAAAATGTGAAACACATAACCTTTTTAATGGAACTAAAACCTGCTAAACCATCATTGGAAGAGGTGGAAAAACAAAAGAACATTCTCAGTGTGGTGGGGGTCTTCAGTTTTAGTTTGTGCTGGATGATGGGGTCTGTAAACAGTTATGCTAATATCTGTTACAAGATCAAGTCACATTTTATAAAGTCCAGTATCACAAATTTTGAAATTATCCTCTTGAACATTAGAACAGGAACAGAGAAACCAAAAGCTGGGTTTCAGCAACAAGCTGCAGAAATCCAGTAAAAAGAAATTGTAACAGTAAATTAAAAAAAACAAATTAATGTGCCACCCTAAAGTGAGTACCCCTGTGAAACTTGTCTGGCTCTGCCACTGGTGGAGTATCATCATAGGACTGCCAATCAAAGCTGTCGAATAAACTGAAATACATACACCTCTTTTCATATCATCAAATAGCTTATTGAAAACAGTCTTACCAGAACAATGACCACTTGTACACACAACCATCTGATAGTAATATTTACCAAAAATCACAGAAGTGACCTCTGGGAACAATTTGATTTGTACTTTGAGTTTTTAGTTTTGTCTCATGCCCCATCCACTAACATGGAAGAGGAGGAATTTATGATGTATACTGCAACCAGCCACCAGGGGGCGATCACATTTTGGTAGCTTCAATTCTGGGAGCTCTTGGCCTCCATCATTTTTACAGTCAATCATTATATTTGTTTGTACATGTATTTTGCACAGGAGGATGGCTGTGGATTTATCAAAGGAATCTTTTTGTGCAGACAAGAGAAACTGTTCAATTGTTTTGTGTGAGGATGTCAGCTTTATTTCGAGGTGGACTTGAAAAAAATGTGAACCTGTCCTTGAACCACGACGAGACTCCTCTGCACAGACCATGGTGTGAAGGATCTGCTCATTTAAACTGAAGCCCTTTGTTCTTAATACAGCACTGATAAAAAACTTGCAGCACTGGGATCCCTTCAAGCCCTGAATGTGAAGGGAAGTTTGATTCAGATCCTTCATGAACTTCCAGTTCCTCTATAAAATGACCACTGTCCACTTTGTCACACTACATAAACAGACCACTGATCAGGCATGGTTTACACATCGCCTGAGGGAGACAAATAGACTTTGGTGGCAGGAAATTTGAATATTTTATGCACAACAGATGTCTTTCTTTTATATAAATAGCCTTGTATGTATAACTAAACTGTATTAGAAACAGTACATGGGTGTTTCCCACAAATGACAGACTGCAGGAACCTTTTAGCTTGAGCCATATTGGCCTCAGTCCACTAGGCAAAAACCCGAAACTCACTACTCTCATTTAAAGTGAAATTAATGCCCCGGTTTTGCCATGCTGATGGATTTTTAAAATTGCGTTTCACAGATGGTTAGGAAATTAAAAATCTGGATTTAGCAAGAGCAGTACAGCAGGTGTTGTTGGGTGCACCTGCACAACAATTGCCCCTGACATAAACATAAATTCTGTACATTGAGTATGTTGCTAGAATTTAATCTGTCTTATCAGCAAACTGTATGGGTGTACAAGCTTTTGGACTGATGAAACTAAACCACTCTACAGAGCAGTCAGATAATGTGAGTAAGGATATAATGTCACTACAAAACTGTAGTTTTACCCAACATAATTGTGAGGTGTAATAATATGAAGGTTTTTGTAATTGTTCAACCACTGACTGGCATACATTTACTCTGAAGGCTATGCATCATTTTTATACAGCTGCTTGAGATGCCTTTTTTGTATTTTTAATCACTATGATTTTAATTGCCAACATGAAGTATTTTAACCAATAATAGGCTATTTTTGTTATATCTTCAAATATGTTAAGGGCTTTTCTTCTTCACCCACCTTACTGTTAGAGCTACAAAAATACATACTGTACCTTTAACCTGAAGCCAAACTATTTTAGCTTGTTGTTTCATCATAGTTTTTACTATTTTTTCATGTTCCAAGTGCCTTTAAACAAGATTACTTATTTATTTCTCACCTTTATTTTTTTTTTTACTTTCAGCTTTCCTCC